CTGTCGAACATGTAACTATCGTTCTTGTCAACACCATATGATGCAATTCAGCACAGGACACTTTCGAAACGTCTTCTCTCTGGCTTCCCTTCCACCTCGCCGCCGGAACGTTTCCCCCCTCCTTCCCTCGGTGCGTGATAACGCGGGGTGACGTAAATGGGGGGCGAAGGAGGGGGCCCTAAAGGGCCCTAAGAGGGCTCGAAAAGAGGCCCTAGAGGGCCGTTTCAGGACCCCCCTCCTCCCCCTCCTTCTCCTCCTCCTCCTCCTTCTCCTCCTCCTCCTCCCCTCCTCCTCCCCCCCTCCTCCTCCTCCTCCTCCTCCTCCTCCTCCTCCTCCTCCTCCTCCTCCTCCTCATCCCCCTCCTTCTCCTCCTCCTCCTCCTCCTCCCTCCTCCTCCCTCCTCCTCGTCCTCCTCCTCCCCCTCCCCCCTCCTCCTTTTCCTCCTCCTCCTCCTCCTCCTCCTCCTTCTCTTTCTCCTCCTCACCCCCCGTTTTAGGTCGCCCACTCTTACCACCCGTCCGGTCCCTTTGCTCGGACGCCAGGCTTTTTCCCGCAGCATGGGTCCCCGGAGGTCTCGTCCCTTGCCCCCTGGGACTGTTTTTTTTTTTTTTTTTTTTTTTTTTTTGTTTTTTCCGTCCCGGCCCCTGTCGTGGCAAGTCCCAGGGCCAAGTTCACTCGGGGGCGGCAAAGAGAGGGGGGTGACGACTAGGGTGGTGGGGTGGATATCATGGCGGGGGCCATGATATTTTTTCAGAGTTCATGGCGGCTCTTCTGATTTCAATGCGTCCCTGGCCCATCCCCTGGGCCGCGAACATGCCGCAGGCCATGATTTGGGCGCCCCCCCTCTTGGACGTCCCCCTCTTGACCGCCCCCGAAGTCCTCCCAGACACCCCAGGTGTCGAGAATGGGCAAGACATTCAGGCGATTTTTTTTCGACGTGGCCACGCAGGAAGGGGCCCCCGATGGGCACGGGTCATGGGCCCTGAGGCCTTGCCCAGGGGCCACTTCTCCCGAGCCGCTTCTTGACGGCCCAGGAGTTCGTGCAGGACCCGTGCACACGAGAACGGGCCTCCCAGATGAGGTCGGAGGTTAGGAAAGGGTCAGAGAATCGCGCCGCATCGCCGATGCATCGGCGATGTGGCTCGATGGGGAGCCCGATTTTCTCCATGCCGACGTCGCCGATGCATCGGCCATACATCGGCGATGCGGCGCGATCCTCTGACCCCATCTACCCCGACCAGATCTGTCAGGCGATCGCAAGCATGGATCAAGGGGGCGTGGATTGGCGAAGGGTGGCGTTTCCATTGGAAATCGCGGATTTTCGCCGCCGAAGGAGGCGGCACCGGGCGCATTTTGGGGAGGGCACCTCCCCCGATCCATGGATTTTGCGACCGCGCGCCAAATCCATGGATCGCTCTGGGAGACCTCTCTTCCAGACAAGGGCTGGACCTAAACGCTGTTTTGCTGGACTTCGGCTATGTTTGGTTTTTCGTTTTGGCAGGGAGCTACAGGACAACCAGGTGGAGCAACACGATAAATCTTTAGTCAGCGGCCGCGGGCGAGAGCGCCGGCGGCGAGTCAGGTCAAAGCGGGCTACGCAGCGACGAATTAAGCGAAGGCAGCGGGGGCAGGCCACGTCTAACGCAGCTAGCCGAGGCCTTACGCGGCGACCCAGCGGCGGGCGTGTGGCAGGGGCGACTGAGACGGAGTCGAACTGCCAGCGTGAGCAACACGATAAACAAAACGACAACAAAACGAGACACAGCGTTCATGTCCAGCCCTGTCTCCAGGACCCTGGTTCCTCATGCGGGGAGGTCTTCTCGGACTCCCCCCTCTGGTGCGGACTCTGTCCAGAACCCTCGAGGAAAATTCGGCCGCGGCGACGAGCAGCCCCCCAGGGAAGCCAACAAGAGAGCAACAACCACGCCCAGAAACGCAGGAAACACCAGGAAGCCCCCCAGGAAGCCCCCCAGGAAGCCCCAGGAAGCCCCAGGAGCAACAACGACTCCCCAGGAAACCCACGAGGAAGCCCAGAGGTGTCGAACCCCCGAGCTCCTGCTCGCAAATGCCTCCGAAATAAGGATGCCCGCTCGCAAATGCCTGGGTGGCCTCCCCCCGCGCTCCCCCCCTTTCAGGAGAGGAAACAACACACAGACACAATGAATCGTCGATCCCCCAGAAAGTATGGGAAACTATGGGAAGTGGGGGGGGGGAAGACGAAAACCCAGAAAATCTGGGAAGATATGGGGAATCCTGTTATTTTTTTTTTTTGTGTGTGTGTGTGTGTGTTTTCCTTTGTGTGTCCCAGGGCCCCTTCACCCTCCTTGTGTGCTCCGGGTGCGCCCCTGCCCGGCGCGGCCCGCCGGCCTCCTCGACCGCGCTCTGGCGCTCGCCCGCGCCGCCGACCAGCTCTGTAGCCTCAGGGGAAGTGCTCAAAAGCAGGAAGTAATACGCTGGGGACGATTCTTCGATTATTTCTGACTGTATTTTCTGGCTCTTC